CTTGCCAGCTTCCGTCCAAACAGATGTAAAGTGGGCAGGTGGCGTGGGCCCTGTCGGGGCTGTGGAGTGGACGCGGGGGAGCCCTGTGGACCACAGCACCCGGCGCAGAGCGGAGACGCAACTTGCATCCCATGGGACAGGGCTGGCTGCAGGGACCCTGCATCTCACAGAGGGCGGGAAGGGACAGGATAGCTGAACCTGTTCCACACAGATAAGAGGGATTTATTTATTTGAAGGAAGAGAGAGAGAGAGAGAGAGAGAGAGAGAGAGAAATTTTTCCATCCACTAATTCACTCCCCCAAATGCCCGCAACAGCCAGGGCAGGGCGAGGCCAAAGCCAAGGGCAGGGAACTCAGTCCTGGTCTCCCACGTGGGTGGCAGGGACCCAAGCACCTGGTGCCTCCTAGTATGTGCACTAGCAAGAAGCTAGATCAGGCAGAGCAGCCCAAACTAGAACCAAGCACTCTGATTGGGCGCCGCCAAAATGCTGACCATTCAATGGAGTGGAAAGGACTTTTTAAAAATGAAAACCCAGGGCCGGCATTGGAGCACAGGGAGTCAAGCCACCGCCTGTGACACCAGCATCCCATATGGTCACCGGTTCCGGTCCCACATGCTCTATTTTTTTTTTTTTTAATATTTATTTATTGGCCGGCGCCGTGGCTCACTATGCTAATCCTCCGCCTGAGGTGCCAGCACCCCAGGTTCTAATCCCGGTCGGGGCGCCAGATTCTGTCCCAGTTGCTCCTCTTCCAGTCCAGCTCTCTGCTGTGGCCCGGGAGTGCAGTGGAGGATGGCCCAAGTGCTTGGGCCCTGCACCCCATGGGAGACCAGGAGGAGCACCTGGCTCCTGCCTTCGGATTGACGCAGCACGCCAGCCGTAGCGGCCATTTGGGGGGTGAACCAATGGAAAAGGAAGACCTTTCTCTCTGTCTTTCTCTCTCACTGTGTAACTCTATCTGTCAAAAAAAAAAAAAAAAAAGATTTATTTATTTTAAAGTCAGAGTTAGAGATAGGGAGAGACAGAAGGAGATCTTCCATCTGCTGCTTCACTCTCCAGGTTTATCTGCAATGTCCAGGGCTTAGTCAGGCTGAAGCCAGGAGTTTCTTTTGGGCCTCCCATGTGGGTGGTGGGATCCCAAACACTTGGGGTGTCTTCCGCTTCTTTTCTCAGGCCATTAGCAGGGGGCTCGATCGGAAGAGGAGCAGCTGGGACACAAACCTGCACCCATATGGGACCCTGGCACTGCAGGCAGCAGCTTTACCCACTATGCCACAGCCCGGCCCCACCACGGTGCTTCTTCCCCAAGGGGCCTGTTCCCGCCGAGGCCTGGGATCCCTAGGCACCCACATCTCGCTTCCATTCCGTTCTGCGGCAAGCGTCTTCTTTGCCCCAAATTCAGCCTTTTGGGCCTCAGTTTCCCCATCCAGGCTGCCGTCTCTCTCAGCTCTGCGGTCAGCACAGCCTGATGGGAGGAAGCTTCTGAGGATTTCTAGGGACAGCCGTGTTGTGGTCCAGGACGTCGTGGTCCAGGAGGTGTGGGTCGGGAGCAAGCTGCTCAGGTCCCTGAGCCCCGGCTGCCCCACACGGTGAACAGTGCCGGGAAGTGGGGAGCCGCCCTGCTGCTGCTGCTGTGCCAGCAAGTCCAGGCTGTGGCAGGGCTGAGGGGACACCGGGGACGCTACTGCTTCCGAGATGGGGTAGGAGGGCCGGCAGGCTCTGGGCCTGGCACCTGCAAGATGGCGACAGACCCTCAAACAAGCCCTGCCTGAGGCAGCCCAGTGCACAGCGTGGGGTGGGGTGAGGGATGGGGGCTCAGCCCAGGAGGGTCGGGAAAACAGCGCCCCAGGGTGGGGCCCCGAGGCTGTGGAGCTGGTGCTGAAGGAGCACAGGGAAGCCCAGAAAGAGAGGCCCCGGGGAGGTGAGGAAGGACACACACAGGCTCACACTCACACACACTTGCACAAGTGGCATCACAAACACGCCCATGCCATACACTCTTGCAACATGTCACAGTCACACACATGCGTTGTCACGTCATGCTCACACACAAGCACACATGGCATCACAAACATGCACGTGTATCACGTACTCATGCACACGTTCACACAGACTTGCATCACAAACACGGCACACATGTTGTCATACATGCATGCAACATGTACACACGCTGTCACATCACACTCTCCAGCCCTCCTGTGGGAAGTTCCGCCTTCTGCACGGCTCCTGGGAGGGGCAGGCAGGGTGGAGCCTCCTGGCCCCTGGCAGTGACCGCCTTGGGCACAAACCCTAGTACCTGCTGGCGTTCGTGCCTTCTCTCTGCCTTCCTGGCCTGCACCCCATCCCCTGGAATGATTCCCCAATTAAACGGGTTGCACGCGCGCTCTCCTGGAGCTGGCACCGGGGGAACTGTCTCCTCCCACCTCTCTCCCCCAGGACGCCAGAGGTCTGCTCTGATCTATTGTTTGCTGGATTCAGGAGTCACCACTTTCCCTGGGGGACCGCATCTCTCTTGTTTACCCAATAGCAAGGAATTCCCAGCAATCATCTGGACAGCCTGCAGCGAACAAGCGCTGCCTTCCGCAATGAGGTCTCCACTTGGTGAAGATCCTGGGCGAGGGTGGGCACCGGGACACCCCAGGCTTCCTCCCAAGCCTGCGAGAACTTGCATCAGAGGCAAGTCACCCTCATCAGAGGCAAGTCACCCTCCGCTCAGGGTCTCCAGCTGTGTGCGTGTGTGTTAAATGTAAACCTATGGAGTCTTTTGCTTACAAAAGCAAGGCACGCCAGTTGCCCAGTTTACAGCAACGCAAAACATGCAGCTTGGAACACTCAGAGCGCCTGCCCCGTGAGCCCACCCTAGAAAGCAATCCTGAATTACTCTGGAGCAGGGCGTTTTCAGGGTCAGGGGATACGAGGCTGGTTGGTCCGCTCAGGGCCAGCCGGCCTCCTTACAAAGTATCATTTCTTCTTACGGAGGTCATCCGTTCATTCAATGCCGTCATTTCGAGCATCTCCTAGGTGCCAGGGACTGGGGAAGCTGCCGTGGATGGGACGGACGAGGTTCTCATGGCGTTTCCCCTATCTCTGTGGGCAGACCTTGGGGGGCTCTCCGGCTCTGGGATATTCATCCAGAGAGGTCCAGCAGGGGGCTGCAGCTGCCCCACTGAGCCTCCTGCGGCCACAGGGAAGGCCGTGCCCATGACCCAGGGTGTGCTATGCGCTTAGCTGCTGCAGGGTCTTGGTCAGATCCTCCTCTGCTGTCCCGAAAGGCCCTGTTTCAGCTCGCCTTAGCAAAGTGGGCCTCCACTCTCACCCGGGCACACCTGAGGGTCTGACCCAGTTCGCCTAAGCTGGAAGTGGGCTTCCACTCTCACCCAGGCACACTTGAGGGTCTGTGTCAGCTCACCGGGCCCACCTGGGGGTCTGCCTTTGTGGTGGGTGCTGTACCTGGCAGCATCCTGAGGATGAGGCCTATGGTTCCTCTGGTCTCCAGACTCCTGGCCAGGCTCTCAGCACAGACCTGCTGGACAGGGCCCACAGCAAAGCAAGGATGCCTGTGGAAGGCAGGGAGTAGGGTACCGAGGCCGCCGTCTGAGGCAGCTCGGCCGGGAGACCGGGTTTTATCAGGGCAGTCTCAGTGTGGAAGCCTCCTCCCATCCCAGGTGTTGGGGAGAAGAGGCTGGGGCACAAGGCCCAGCAGGGAACCTTGGGGCCCAGGAGCTGGGCACAGTCTTGCCAAGTAGGGTGCCCACTGAGAACCCCAAGGGTTGGTGCAGGTGCCCCTCTTGCCAAAGCAGCCCAGAACTCCGTTATTATCAGCTCTCTCTTATAAGCACTGTCCCTTTTTTTTTTTTTTTTGAAAGGCAGAGTGGACAGTGAGAGAGACAGAGAGAGAGAAAGGTCTTCCTTTTGCTGTTGGTTCACCCAATGTCGACCGCGGCCGGCGCGCTGATCCGATGGCAGGAGCCAGGTACTTATCCTGGTCTCCCATGGGGTGCAGGGTCCAAGCACTTGGGCCATCCTCCACTGCACTCCCTGGCCACAGCAGAGAGCTGGCCTGGAAGAGGGGCAACCGGGAAAGAACTGGCGCCCCGACCGGGACTAGAACCCGGTGTGCCAGCGCCGCAGGCGGAGGATTAGCCTAGTGAGCCGCGCTGCCCGCCACTGTCCCTTTTTAAACGTAAACATCGGACCCTCTTCCAACATCCTGCAACAATTCAATGTTTGGGTCCCAGATGGCTGAACACAATGGGCGAAAAGGCTGCTTTGCTCAGATCTCCTCTCTCTAACCCCTGATGGGCCCCCCGCCCTTGGGGTCAACCTTGAGAAGCTGGGGCTGAGGTGGGTTAGCTTTTCGGAGTCAGTGTCAGGGGGATACACAGTGGCCACGCGGCAACCCTCAGGGGCTGCCCTACCGGCCGGCCTAATCTCACCTCACCATGGATCCCAAACTGCCTAGCTCCCTCCTCTTCCCGACTCTGGCCTGTAGTGGATCCAGTGTTCTGTCAAACTGAAGGAAAATAATTCTTACTAAGGTGTGAGAGACGGATAGGAGCGACTGCGTCTGGAAGGCAGAGCTGCGGCTCTGTGCGCACGCAGAGGCTTCCTCCGGAGGCAGGGTCTTCCCCGGCTCCCCGTGCCTCACTCCCGCCCCGCCACCCCACCCACTTCCCTAAGAAGGTCTCAGCTGCAGGCTCTCTGCGGAGAAGCTCGGGCTCAGAGGGTGGGCGGCGCACGTGGGGCCCGCGCGCGGTGGAGGAGCCCCAGCCCAGCCCAGCCCCTCCGGCCCCGAAGGCAGCGGCCGCCGGGAGGGCCGTCCACGTCCCGGGCTTTCACCTCCGACACGGGGCCTGCCGGAGTGCGCCCCGGCCTTTTCGGTTCCGAGCCAGCCGCGCCCTTCGCCACCGCCGTCGCCGCTGGGGACCCCGAGCCCCCGCCCCCCCCCCCCCCCGCTCCGGGCCGCGCTCCCGAGAGGGCGACGACCGGGGGAGGGGCCGCGCCCCCGCCCGCCTCCCGGGCCCGGAGCGCGCGTGGCCCGCAGCCGGCGGCGCCGCGCGGGATCTCAGTGTGCAGCGCGCCGCGCCCGGACTCGCGGGCTCGGCGGCCGAGAGGATGCTGGCGGGCTCTCCTGGCCTCGGCCCGCGCTCCCGCCGGGCAGGGCCCCGGGCGCGCCCCTAGCCGCCGGCCCCGGCCCCCGGAGCCGCAGCCCTTAGGGGCGGGCGCGCTTGGCTGGCTCCCGAGATCTCCCAGGCTCGCAGCCGCCGCTTCCTCCTGCGGCCGGGCGCCCGTGGGGTGCCCAGGGGCAGCCCTGCGCCTCTCCCTGCCGGAGCCCGGGCCTGACGGTGGGGAGTCGCGGCCGGTAAGGGGCAGCGGGCCCCTGGACGCGCGGAGCCTGCCCGGCCCGGCCGCCGCACGCGTGACTCGGCCCGCAGCCCGCGCCGGGCCCGTCCCGGGGCACGCACGCGGCTCCTGAGTTCCTGCACAGGTGAGCGCGGGGGCAGGGCCGGGCTGTGGGGGCGAGGAGAGCGCCCGGGGCCTCCACGGGCTGGGTGGGAAAGGGAAGTAAACAGAAAGAAGATTCAGGAATCCTCGGGATGGCTCCGGTTTCTGGCACGTTTTATTTTCAGCTTGCAGGCTCGGGCCTGGAGGGAGTTTGGGTGAGGAAGTCGGGTGGGGAGGTGGCCGGGCCCCTGTGTGAGCTCGCAAGTGGCGTGGGGTGCCGGGGCGGCCCCGGTTTGGGAGGCTCTTGCAGCCAGGATTTTGCAAGGGATGGGCAGGGCGGTGGCGGCGGGGAGACCGCGGGTGGGAGGAAGGTGCCCTCAGCTTAGCGATGTCCCTTTTCTTTCTAGGTGACCGGGGCTACCGGCCCCAGCCCAGGAGAGGCCCCGCACCCTTCCCAGGTCGCAGAGCGCCCTGGTTAGGGGCCCCTTCCTCTGTTCCCAGTCCGCTTCTCAGGGCCAGAGGAGGCAGCCACGGGGCAGGATGCCCAGGAACCAGGGCTTCTCGGAGCCCGAGTACTCGGCCGAGTACTCCGCCGAGTACTCGGTCAGCCTGCCGTCGGATGCGGACCGCGGCGTGGGCCGGACGCACGAGATCTCCGTGCGGAACTCGGGCGCCTGCCTGTGTCTGCCCCGCTTCATGCGGCTGACCTTCGTGCCGGAGTCCTTGGAGAACCTCTACCAGACCTACTTCAAGCGGCAGCGCCACGAGACCCTGCTGGTGCTGGTGGGCTTCGCGGCCCTCTTCGACTGCTACGTGGTGGTCATGTGCGCCGTGGTCTTCTCGAGCGACAAGCTGGCGCCGCTCGTCGTGGCTGGCATCGGGCTGCTGTTGGACCTCGTGCTCTTCGTGGTCTGCAAGAAGGGGCTGCTGCCCGACCGGCTCACCCGGAAGGCGGTGCCCTACCTGCTGTGGCTGCTGATAACAGCCCAGATCTTCTCCTACCTGGGCCTGAACTTCGCGCAGGCCCACGCGGCCAGCGACACGGTGGGCTGGCAGGCCTTCTTCCTCTTCTCCTTCTTCATCACGCTGCCACTCAGCCTCAGCCCCATCGTCATCATCTCTGTGGTCTCCTGTGTGGTGCACACGCTCGTCCTGGGGGTCACTGTGGCCCAGCAGCAGCAGGACGAGCTGCAGGGGATGCAGCTGCTCAGGGAGGTGAGTCCTGGCCACCTGTCCATCCGCCCTGGCACCTGCTGGCCGGGTAGGGGCGTTGTTCCTTTGCTCTTGAGTTGCCGTGTGGCCTGGGGTCCTGCAGGGCTCCCAGCTCCTGTGTCGGCCCCCTCCTCCCGTGCCCTTGCACCTCTGCCATCCTGCACTTGTACCTAGGGAACACTGGGGGGGGGGGGTAGGACGTTGGGTCTCGGGGCCACTCTGTCACTTGTGCCCAGACAGGAGGAAGGCTTGTGCAGGCCTGGTCTTGATGCAGTGTTGTCCTGGCCATTCCCTGCTAGTGACCCTGGCCGGGAGGTGGCCTACCACTGGCCACCTTCAGCGTGTGACGTGGCTTGCGTGTGCTCAGTGCCCCTCTGTCCGATGCCCCGCCATGTGTCAGGATCAAAGGGAATGTGGGGTGGGGGGAGGCTGCAGTTACCCTGGATCCCGCCTCTGCAGGGCTCGGGGTGCCCTGAGCTGCCGGGGGGGGGGGGCCTGCGGGGAGTGTGGCAGTGTCCACAGAGACGGCGTGGTGCGGGGACACTTGTGCCAGCCGCTATGGAGCAGGGTCTGCTGGAAGGGATAGCATTGTGTTCCACCCAGTGCCACGATCCCTGCCGAGCTCTGAGGGACTGCAGTGAGCAGGGGAGGTGACCGTGGCCTGAGCTTACTCTGGGGACGCCCTGGCGGGGGGCTCCATGGAGCTCCCTCAGCGCACTCTGCAGTCTGCCAGCCACCCTCGGTGGCCTCCCGTTATGTGTGAGCTCAGAGAAGGAAAGGCACGCCGGAGGCTGTGCAGCTGGTCCGGCTCTCAGGCGGCTGGAGTGCCCATTCCCGATTCCATCCCATCTTCCCACTGCATCTCAGTGTCTCCATCTCGGCCCAGGCGTTACTGTGGTCTCCGTGGCATCGGGGCTGGGTGCAGGGGCCCCGGGGCCTGTTGGTGGTTGAGGCGAGAACTCCGTGGGGCTATGGCTTTGCCTTCCTCCTGGTGGAGGGCAGCACAGGCTTTGCTCGGTTTTGATTTTTCCTCGATCTTGGACCGAGGGCCGGCCGGTTACCCGTTCTGGCCCATGTGTGGTGCCCGATCTCAAGCAAGCACGGTGCTGGGCTCGTGCACGTGGGTTTGTGTGGACCCCTGGACAGCCCCCTGTGCTTTCCCTGCCATGTCTTGCCTGTGTGAGATCGTCACCTGCGGTCACCGACGTGACTTGTGGGTTGGAGAGTTTTCAGCCTGTGCCTCTGCCGGAAGTTGGGGGAAGGATGGGTGCCGATAGACAGGCGGGCCTGGCAGCGTCGGGGTCTGGCAGCAGTTCTGCACCGTATCCTTCTCTCCGGTCTCTTTGCTGCTTGCCAGGATCCCTGGATCATGAGCTCCCCACAGCCGTGCAGACAGAAGTCCCCGTGGGAACACAGGTGTCACCTCTGATCTCATTTGAATCTGCTGCCTGACAGGATGTCCGGGCCGCGGGGAGTGGAACGGACGCCCCTTGAGCGGTGGCCAGGTCTGGGCAGAGTTCCGAGATGGCATCATGGAGGGGCCCTGCCACGACCGAGGCAGTTTTGGGGAGCGGATGTGAGGGATGGGGGAGCCGTGTGCCTCTGGGGAGCCATGAGGGTGGAGGTGTTTCCGTCGGGGCAGTGCCCGGCCTGCCGGCCTCCTGCTCGCCAGTGAGCAGAGAGGGCCTGACACGCCCTCCCGCCCTGTTCTGTGAAGGTTGGGATGTTGTCAGCTCTGGGGGTGACCTGCCGGGGGTACTGGGTTCTGACTGAGCCGAGCCTCTGGTGGCCCTGGAGAAGTGACCCGCCCGTGGAACCCGGCCCCCGTGTCTCAGGGTTTGAGGGACACAGAGCTGCCTTCACTTGCTTCTTTCTCGGCTCATGCTTCAGCCTTATGAATTGCTCTAGAGAATGTTCGCTAGGGCAGGGCCTGGAAGAGCATCTAAGCCAGATGCCCGGATGCAGGGATGGACAGTCCCAGGGACACGCCTGACTCGGGTCAGGAGCCCAGGTGTGCTGGCTCCCAGCCAGGACTCCTGCACAGGTGAGGCTTTTAATTAATTTATTTTTAAGATGTATTTTATTTATTTGAAAGGCAGAGTTACAGAGAGGCAGAGGCAGAGAGAGAGGTTGTCCATCTGCCAGTTCACTCCCCAATTGGCCGCAATGGCTGGAGCTGAGCCAGGCCGAATCCAGGAGCCAGGAGCTTCTTCCGGGTCTCCCACTTGGGTACAGGGGCCCAAGGACTTGGTCCACCTGCTGCTGCTTTCCCAGGGCATAGCGGAGAGCTGGATCAGAAGTGGAGCAGCCTGGACTTGAACTGGCGCCCCTATAGGATGCCAGTGCTGCAGGCGGTGGCCTCATCAGCTACGCCACAGCGCCGGCCCCACAGGTGGGATGTTTATGTGTGTGTGCCTTGGGGGTGTGTCCTGCTAGACTGAGAGCAGTCTGCGAGTGGGAGCTTTGCTGCCTGTGACCCCCACCCAGGCCCTTAGTAGAAGACAGAGCTTGTGGGGGCTCTGGGGCCCTGTTCCAGGACTAAATGGAAACTCTTGCCACTCCTGTTCCTGCCAGGTGTTAGCTGCTCCCTTTGCCACCTCCCAGGGTGTGGTCACTCGAGCCTTTGTCTCCCCAGGTCAGCGAGGAGCTCACATGGAGGCTTCTGGGGCCTCCTGGGAAACTGGTGCAAGCCCCAGCCCAGGGCAGGCAGGGCCACCCGGCCCTGTCACTGCCTGGAGATCACTGTGACCCTGTGATCGCTGGTCTCCTGTGGGCACTGCTGAAAACCAGAACAAGCCAAACAACCCAACCCTCAAACTTAGGAAACAGGAAAAATAAGCAAGTCAAGAGTAAAAATATTAGCATCCCCGGGGGCGGGGCCGTGACCTTGACGAGGAGCAGAGCCTGGGACGTGGCTTTGGGAACGGAGCGGAGAAGGGGCCGCTCCAGGTCCCATCGGGAGCCTGAGATGGAAGGCGTACATGGGCTGTGTTCCAGAAGCTTCTGAGTCACTTGTTTGGGACTAGTGGGACTTTTAAGAATGAGCCGGGGCTCCCAGGCCCACCTGCCGAAGGCCTCCTGAACCCACCGCGTCCTTGCCCTTGGCCTCTTAGCGCTGTGGAAACCAAACCCAGGTGGCCTGTTGCCATGGCGAGGGCCACCGGGGACCCAGCGCTCTCCTGGGCTCCGGGGAGACGCGTCATTCACCTGTCCTGCTCTCCTCCCAGCCTGCCTTGCCTCCTGGGAGGGACGCTCCACCGAGGATAGGAGGGGCAGGGCTGGAGGAGAGGGCGAGGAGCCTGTGGCCAGGACCTCTCTCCAGACCCCAGACCCTCGGCCCCACCTTGCTTCTCCTCCTGCCCAGGGGCTTCCCTTTTTCTCCATGTTCTCCTTTCTGTCACCTGTGACTCTGGGTGGGAGGGGTGAGCTCAGTTTCACAGTAGAAGGAGACACCTGCGCCCCTGGCAGGGGTTGTGAGTTTTGTGGGTTCGGCGTGGACAGTACTGAGGAAGCACCTCCAGTGTCAGAGCCATGGGCACCCAGGGCTCACGGCAGCCCTGCAGCCTGTCCTGGGCTCTCGGGAGGCAGGGCAGGGGGGTGGGCTCATCAGTGGTGAATGTTGTCTAGCAGAGACGGCGGGCCTAGCAGCCTGCAGGGTCTGGGGACAAGGCGGGACAGGCCATCGCCAGTCAGGCTGTGGTGGGAAGAGCTGGGCATGGGGCTGGGCTGAGCTGAGGGCAGCTGACTTGGGGTAGGGGGCTCCGTGTCCTCGTCCAGCACCTCTGATGGCCCGCTTGCCCGTTACTGCCCCTGGGATGAGGGGAGGAAGCAGGGATTGGGGGCAGGCCCGGGAGCAGCGGCCGGGCAGGAGAGCGCCACAGGGAAGGGGGCAGAAGACACACCCAGTGGCTGCTGCAGACCCTCATGCGCCTGCGTGCACCTCTCAGTCGCTGCCACTAAAGGCAGGAGCCTGTGGCCAGCCAGGCCAGGAACCCCTGAGAAACGTTCCGTGGCTTTGTTTCTCAGAGGAACTTGTCCCACGGAATGAATAGTGAGCATCAGGGGAAGCCTGTTGGGACTGTGGATGGGTGATTCCACGTGCACCTATGGGTTACACGGGGAGTCATTCAGCTGGTGAACAAGGGGTCGGCTGCAGAGGGCGGCGGGAGAGCCGAAGCTGCAGGCCGGAGTTCAGTGCTGTGTGTGCGTCCGCTGGCTCCGTGGTGGGCCTGACCGACTCCATTCACAAAGGTGGAAGCTGAGGCTCGCTGAGGTCAGGGGACGTGGAGGGGCAGGTCACTGGGTCACTGGTGAGAGTGCCAGGGTAGGGTTGTGGGGGCGTCCCTGCAGGCCCTTCTTGTTCTAGAACACAGGTGTCCCGGCTCCGCCCATTGCCCCAGTTGTCGCTACTGAGCAGATGGGAACCCCAAAACATAGGCTTCCTCCGGCTCCCGTGGGGGCTGCACACAAGAGGGGAGCTGCCCACGCCGGAGTGTTGCTTGTGGGACCCTGGCCCGCAGCACAGGAGAACGGCAGTGGGGGTGGGGGGCTTTCAGCAGCCAGATTGCGGGACACGGGTTGGGAGGAGGCAGACCCAACCCAGTTCCTGTCCCCTTGGCCCAGGCTCCAGTGCTGTCCCAGGGCCGGAGAGCAGGGCCGTCCCTCCGGGAGTGAGCCTTGTGTGGCCGGGCAGCCATGAGGGCTGCACGGCGGGGACCGCGGGGCCGTGAACTCTGCCTGCGCTTAGTGAGGGACCGGCAGCTGGGGGACACTCACACGGCTTCGCAGCACGTGCCCCCTGAGTCCCTTCCCCCCGTCGTGTTTCTCGGTGGCCTTTTCTGTGTGTAAACAGAGCCCTTCCAGTCTGTGCCCGGTGCACACGTGGTATAGGCCCCACCTTTCACCCACATCATTCCACTGACATTTGGCTTGGACCAGCGGAGTCCTCATGTTTACAGTTGTTATAGTCAGCTGGGTTTCTGGAGAAGAAACCAAAGCTCTTG